TCCACAGGAGGAAAAAATACAAAAAAAAAAAAAAAAAAAAAAAAAAAAAGAGAGAGAGGGAAACTGAAAGAAAAGCTATTTTGAAAACTACATCTTCTAATCAGCACCACTGCAGCCTGATTCAGTGTCTCTTCATCAGAGCCTTGGCTCAGGGTACCTGATGACAGGTAATTTAAATTCAGAAAGAAATAATCTCTGCAGTCTCATGGCCAGGAAAGGACAAGGATGTTTCAGTTCCTGAAACATTGCAGAGGATCCCTTTCTCCGAAGATTTCAGGATCATGGTGTAATTTTCCATCTCTTTTTCTTTTGATTTTATGAGGGTGGTGATATGTCATATTTCAACAAAATTAAAAGCTTTTCACTACTTATTATCTCCTTCTAGTGAGAGAAGGTGTAATGAGGTCCTTTTGTGTAAAGGTGGCTTAGGTTAAGCTAGGAAAGTTTTTGATAATCCACACAGGCAGTGAGGTCTGGAGGACACATCTGGCTGTTTGTAATCTGGTCAGCAGATCCTGCTGGCTAATAGTGTGAGCCTTCATCCAGCAAAGCATGTCCAGTGCTTAACTCTGCCCCCAGTCCCTTCAGGCTTTGCATAACAGATAATTTGCTTAATACTGTTTATATTTTAGTAGGAATGCTGCTGCAGATTAATGGGAACAAAGGCAGGCAGCAGAAGTCATAGAAATTCTGGGTGACCATGGCTGGTGCTACTCACAGCAGGAGAAGAGGGTTCACTTCAAACACAATATTTCAGGTGCTGGGGGGTTTTAGCAATCCAGAGAAATATTTATTTTTCTGGCAAATACCTCTCTTTGGTTGACAGAGCAGAACATGTGACTGCCTTAGAGATTTTAGGGCTGAAGGGTTTGGTATGGAGCATCATGGAGGTTGATAAAAGAGTTTCAAAAAGCACTTCGCTGGGTCAAGTGAGCCTAGAGGGTCACAGGAAATTTTAAGTGATTGTAAGGTCAAAACACATTAAAGCCATCAAAGAGAAATAGCTGCTGCATTAAACAGCAAACTCAGCAAGTAGTGAATGCCTTCCAGTGCGTGGGAGGACTGTGCCTATTTTATGTGGTGCTCTTTGCAACACCTGTGTTTTATCTTAACACCTGCAGCTGCTTGTCACTTATCCAAATCCCCCCTCATCTGAAATACAGCACAGAGCCACGCTGCTTCTCCAGCCTGCATCATCACCTTCAGCACAGGCTGACCTTACCTACCCCACCAGCTCGGGGTGCCAGGAGATCATGGAGGTGGTTCTGAGCTGTAAAATGGCTTTACAGAACTGTGGCACGATACAGGCTCAAGAAACACCACTGCATATCAAATTCTATGCTTTGGTTCTTGCTGAAGAGCATGGAAATGCCAGCACTGGCAGCAAGGGAAGGATGAAGGCTTTAGTGATGCTCACTGACTGGCAGCAAGTTTGCACCCAGGGCCTGAGGACAGCACAGGACTCCCCCCACTCCCAGTGCTATCTCCTACCTGACTGCAACAAAGGGAACACACAAATGTCTTTATATCCATGGCATCAGGACTAGTCACCAAGAGAGATGGAAAACTCATCAAACCACTGCTGTCTCTGGTTAACTCTCTGGGCTTTCTTAAGAGCAAGGAAAAAAAAAAAAAAAAAAAAAAAGTGAGTCTTTTCAAAGTCATGCCAGTACCTGGGAGGATTGCAATAATTTGATTTGCTCTCCTAGTGTCTGATAATTTATTTAGTTTTCCTGTGAGAGGCTCTGGCATTTTTGTTTGCTATTTTGAAATTGGAACTCCTCCACAGAGGCCAAGGAGTGGGACCAGAAATGATCCAAACTAGTTATCATTAACAAATGTTGAAGTCTGCCTGATGGGTATTGAGATGGAGCTGTATTTAAGAAAGTTAAAGAAAGGGAGGACAAGGTGGAGATGTCAGGAAGGAAAAGGGGAGAGATAACACTTCACTCGTTTACCTAAAGGTGCTTGTGAATTCCCTGGCAATAAGAGAATTTCTTCCCCACAGGGCAGGGAGGCAAAAGTGCTCCTCCTGTTCAGAACAGGTTTGGTACTGACTTGAACCCTTAGTTCACTTTGAATTGAACTCCTTTGGATTTATCACTGAAGTCAGAGATGCCATAAGTAATAAAGGCAGTTCATGCTATATTTTCATAGCTACTTGGTCATTTGTAAGGCAACTGAACAAAAAAAAAGGGATAAATGGAAAGCTGAAAGTCAGTTTGAACTTGTGTTTTATTCAGATCAAGACTGGACCTCGCCTGTTGCTGAAACCATTGCTGAATTACTAATTTGAGTCCCTGCAGATGAGTCTGCTGTCAGTACAAAAAAAAAAGATAAAAAACAACAAGAATATGATTGTGTAACATCAAAAACATACAGAAAATTTAAGCAACAAAACAAAGAAAAAAAGCTGAAATATCCATCTGAATAAGTCCTCATTACCTTTTCTTGAGTTTACTTTCTAAGAGGTGGTGGGAAGATACTGTCCAAGTTTCATACGATCTCAAAATGAAATCTATAGATTTTCAACTGATTTTAGGAGAGCAGGTTAGTGCTGAGGACATTATGGTCCATGAATATCAAAAAGCACAAAGTGATTTTAAATCTAGAACCAAACTTTATGGTTTGGGCTCATCTTTTCTAAATTCTGAATGTCTGAGCTGTTTTATAACTGCAACAGGGATTGATCCAAGATTGTGGATCAAAAATCTCTTACTGAAGATGTGAGATCAAAGGGGAGAGAAAAAGGAAGAGGGAAAATAAGAGATTAAATTATTTCAGAGTTATGGAGGCCATGACCCCTTGAACTCATGTAGGTTTTAACCAGTGGTTGCAGCATTTTTTAACAGCTCAGCAAGAGCTGTGGATCCCTGTTAGCCTGAGGAAGCAGAGCCAAGATTACAGCATGGATCAGGAGAGGTGGAGAGAGAAGGAAATGGAGGATGACAGTTTGAGGGCTGGGGTCCAAGCAGCCCCTACAATCCTGGCCATGTCTGCCCTGCCTAAGGGCAGGTCATGATGCTGAGGGATCCAGGAGCCTTGGCACAGAACAAAATGCAAATGTAGGAGCCAAGCAAGAGCAGCAATACAGCTCTAAAAGCTGCCAGTGCAGCAGCATCTGGGCTGAAGGGAGAGACCAGCACACAAAGTGCCACAAAAGCAATATTTCGCTATATCACAGCAATAATTAGGGAACCTAAATCTATCTACTTAAAAATGCCTGGTCATCCCTGAGAGAGGAACAAAAGGTTATTCTCCCATCAAATAAAAGTTGCTGCATTTTTGCTTGCTGTCTTTTGGTAATCATCCCTATTTTGAGGCTCTATCAGGATCCCACCTCCTACAGCAGAGGTCTGAGGGGGGACTGTGGTCATTCAGAGCCCTGCATGCAGTGACAACTCACAGGCAGGACTGCTGCAGCATTAACACTCACACCTTTGCTGCCAAACTCCTCCTGACTTGGCTCTCTCACCCCAGTCCAGCCACTTGCTGTGTTACACAGCTTTTTGTACTCCACCCAATTATCCAATGCCTTCTTCAATGTAAAACACAAATCATTCCCACTGCCACCATACTGGCACTGCCATGTTCCTGAATTACCCAGCCTCTGATGGGTGCTTCCTTCACTTGCCTATTAAGGCAAGGAGAGACAGGACAGGAGGAATTTGGGTACCTGCCTATGGCATCTCCCTACATCAAACCAGGTTGGGATTGCAGATGTGTGACCTCCCAGAAACGTGAGATTTTAATGCTAGATGTTCTAAAATAGCATTGATAAAAAAGCTTAATCAGAGGGACAAAAACCAGCTATTCGATTTTTAGTGAAGTCAACAAAAAACCCATCTGGCTTCTTGTGTTTGAAAGAACAGCTCAGCTCTCACATCTTATTTGTGCAAAAGAATAAAGTAAAAAGGTAAATACTTTAATAAGTAATGGTTCAAAAGGGCAGTGGAAGAATAGAACTTTAGGATTTATGCTTGGCTGAATGCAAAATCATACCCAAAATTGTGTGAAAACAATCCATCCTCATCAAGGCTTTTCTTATCCAAATTAACATTTGAGAACATGAAGAAGGAATTTTCCCACATGGAAGTGAAAGCTCTAACAATCTTGGCCTGTCCTCTTGCTTTTCTGAGAATCTTTGTCACCAGCCTCTCTGCTCTGGTGAGGCGGCTCTTACCAGAGCTTCCACCAAAGAGTTTCCACACATGACACAGCATCTCCCATAAGGATGGGATTTCAGATTCTCAATTCCAAACCATTTTTGTGGTTTTTAATTACAAGCCAACTGACCCTCTGCAAGGAAGCAAATGAGCCTCTTCAGAATCTGAGGTATTGATGATTCTGAGATTGTAGAAAGTCTCTGTCTGTCAGCCCCACTGCCAAAGCAGAAGCCATAATTTGTCTGTGCTGGTTTCAAGGTTGTTTATTCTGTTTATCTCTAACATGTTCTGCTGCCCTGCCGCAGCTCTGTCCTGCAGGGCAGCGTGTGGGGCTCTGCCCTCAGTGGGATGTTACAAACATTAAATACCAGAAACTACCTGTGCTGGATTTACAATAACGTGCCAATATCTGTCACCTACGTTGAACAGTGTGTCCCCAGCCTAAACCAACAGAAAAATGCCAACACCACAGTGAAACATGGAGGGCATGAAGAAGGAGAAAAAGGACAAGACACACCCAATTTCCTCCATCTTGTCTCCTTTGGACCCCTCATCTAGAATCCTAAAATTTTACTTTTGCACCCATGCCACACTTAATTATTACTTATATCAAACACTCAGAGCTTGTAATTCATCCTGTAAGACTGAAAACTCTTTTCCATGGACAGAGATCACAGACAGTGTCTCTGGGGGCTCTGTCCAGGGGGGTTCATGACCCCTGCCAGGGTCCCAGACCTGCCAGGGCAGCCAAGGGGATGCCCTGGACTCCCACAAGCCTCCACTGAAGTCTTCCCTCATTTCCCAGCTCCCATGTCCTTTGTTGTGTTCCTGCAGGTGTCTGTGAGCCCACGTGCATGAACGGGGGGAGATGTGTGCACCCCAATGTCTGTGACTGCCCGTCTGGCTGGAGGGGAAAGCACTGCAGCAAACGTAAGCACCTCTACTCCCATTCAAAGTTTCTATTCATTAGTCCAGTCAACAGCAGTTTGCAACCTTCTAATACTAAAAACCAGCCCAGAATCTGTTCTGCTGTTTCAGCAGTTTGAAGAAATAACAGTTTTAAGCACAGGTAATACAGAATGCTGTAAACACTCAGTGCTTGCAGAGGGGAAAAAGCTGTGTAGGGGAACCCTGGTTCTGCTTCATGCAGCTCTGTTATACATCTTGTTATGGAAATTCATTTTTACAGTATTAAACTTGAAGCATTGATTTTATGTTTTAACAGCTTCACATATTTTGTTATATTCTAGAGAGAAATGTCATGTATTTCAAAGTACAGAACTATCTAAAGCCTGCTATAAAGCTTTCCAAACTGATGTACTCTCAAGGTCATCGGTGCATAATTTGGAGAATGACGTGTTCTTACTCTGTAACTCTGACTACAGTTACATAAAAATGTAATTAAAAGAAAAACCTCTCACCCTGAAATATTTTCAAGGAATATTTTTCTGTACATGGCTATTCATTACCATGAAGTTGACAGATAAACTGAACAAATTTATAATCAAGATGACATACTGTATGTAAAGCAGATTAAAATATTGGCTTTTTACCCTTTAGGTCCTGCTAGTAAATATGATTTCAGAAATAGTGGCTTGATTTTATAATATAAATATTTATTCAGAGATGCTGAAGGAAGGGTCTCTCATATACACCAGATCATGCACTCGCTCTTTCAGGATCTCTGAACAAAAAATATATGCAATAAACATATCAAGCTTTTCTATGAAAATATTTTTTTTTACATGGAATATCTAGTGCATGACTGCATCATGGTGAGATTATTCTTAGCTGATGATGAGCCAAGCATTAGAAATGCCAAGCCTCCCAGCAGACAGCTATCAAAGATAAATTTCTTAAGAAGAAAATATCAAACAATGCTGATCACCATGCTGATGACGTGGCCTTTGGAAGTCAGCCACATGGAATAGAGCCTAGCAGGTCACCTCTCAGGCAGCCCTTGAGCACACAGACACATGTGTCCATCCTCTCACGTGTCCCATGTCCCCTGCCCAGCTGTGTGCCTGCAGAGGTGCCTCAATGGAGGGGAGTGTGTCGCCCCCAACGCCTGCCAGTGCCCTGGAGGATGGGTGGGAACGCTGTGCCAGACCCGTGAGTGCTCCCCCAATTCCTGCAGCTTTGTAAAAACCACCTCAGCTTTTTGCACATTGCATTTCCTCCTGTGTGTGTGTGTTGTGTCAGGTTTGTGCCTGAAGTCAATCATCTTAAAGGTCTTTTCCAAGCTAAAAGATTCCATGATTCTATTACGTGTAAAAGTCAACCATAACACGATTATCACCTAAAGTCTTCCTCTTATTTGTTAGAATTGTCCTACCAGCAAAATTGGTACTTTGAAAGACATTTCTATACTCAGCACAAGAGGCCTGACTCATCTGTTTTCTCACATGGATGTTGAGATCAACCTGTCAGACAAAATAAGTACTTTTCAAATTAAATAAATTTAAATACAAGGTAAAACAAAGAGGTCAAGGAGAAAAGGAAATAGAGTACCCTTTCTCTATACCCAAGTGGCATTAAGCACAGAAACTCTGTGTGTCTGCTGACCTGAGAGCCTGACCCTGTAAATTCTACTTGTTCAGACTGACCAAGGTGGCTGGAAGTATTTGCATTTGCAGGGGTTGGAAGACTTGGAATGGGAATAGATCTGTTATTGCCAATTACATCCAGGGTCACTTCAGTTTGTGTTTGCCATTAGCTTTACAGCAAAAGGGTATGAGGAAAATATCAAAGCATTATCCCCTGAAAAGGGCATTATCTCCTTTATCTTCCTTTCCCTCACACTCACAGAGCATAATTACTTATGGAAATCTTCTGTCAGCTAACTCCCAATGGCTGTGTAATTGTTTCTTTGTGCCAGCTGTCTTCTAGTTCAAACATAGGAATGTTTAAAGTTATTGATGGCATATTCTTGACTCAGTTTATAAAATAAATAAACAAATTGTGCTTGCTCCTATGAAAGGCAATTAACAATTTCTGATGTCCTATCCAGGCACACAAGCCAGGTAATTTTTTTATAGATTTATCTAGCCTTTGAAACTGCTCCAAATCCCTTCATTTGCTAGTCATTGTGGTTTTACTACTTCTGCCTATAGTGGGAGGTTAAATCTTTTTTTTTTTTTTTATCCAAAAGGGTCTGGCTGAAACTCCCAGATCCCACAGCAACCCCAAATTTCAGATTTTTTAACGAGAAGGAGAGAAGACTATTGTCAGAGAGCAGATGGTGAGGTCTTACAATGCTGCTCCAGGGTATTCATGGCAAGGCAGGGGAACAGGATCATCCTCACAGATGTTAGGTCTGAAGTGTAACTCTGAAACCAAGTCATGTTTCATGTTTTAATGGGAGGCTATTCCCTAAAACCCTGGACTCAATGGAACAGATGCATTTATCTGTCTAAACATGAGAAGCCTCCTGACTGCCTCCCTTGCTCACCTTCTCCTCAGCTCTGGCAGAGGCTGCAGCAGCACAGAGGCTGAGCTCAGCCCCTGGGCACTGTTTTTGCTGCCCTTGCCCTGCTCTGGCCTCTGTCCCACCTCCCAGCAGCACAGGGACACTGGGCCAAACCCACAGGCTCTGCCAGAACCCATCAGCTTCTGGCAAGGAGCTCTTTGGTTCATCACTCCGCTCCCCTGTGCAAAACTGCTTGGTCTCATTTCAGCTCCTGAGGTTTCCCTGAGCTCAGCAGCCCTGCCTTGCTTGGATGTGTGTTCCCAAATTCTGGGTTCCACCATGGCATCAGCAAGGCTGAATTCAACCTACATTTGCACCACTTTAATCACAGACTTTGGCTATTAAACTCAACAATAGACCAAAACATTCACATGGAAAAATAAGAAAGTAGTAGCTGCCACATGATATGAAAATAATATTTCATATTTATATTTATTTATTCTATAACATTAAATTAATGTACTGTTTTATACTATATTTGAATATTTTGATTAATACTATGTATTAATTCTATGTTTTTAAATTATTAATCTCAATCGTTTCCATTTCATAATGCAAATATTCCATCTCACTCTACAAGTAACAATTCAGAGGATAGGTTTTTTCAACAATCACTCTGTAATCCAGAATCCATTAGGGCAGGATTGTTTCTTGGAGGCTGTTTCAAGAGTAGGAGATGATTAGATAATCCCAGCTTCATTCTTTGTTTTCAGCCTATGAATTCCACTTGACCACCCTGATCAGGATGGTGGTGATGGAAATGCAGATACAGGTTTCATCTACACCCTGAACCTCATTTTTTTCCTCCCTGATTTCCTAACACATTGAGGGGGGTGACTAAACCACAGGATACACAGAGACTTCCACTGCTATTTTCTGAACATTTCCCAGATGGAACAGATTGTTGAGGTCCTTTATACTGAGATAGCCAGAGTAGGTCCTTGAGCCAACGAAAGGGACAATGGACAAATACTAAGAAATCATCTTGGACATCTACTTTTTGGTTTATCTTTCATAAGAGTCCCAGATCACCTCCATCTGCTCAGTTTCTAACTCACAGAAGTCTGAGCCCACATGGACCATTCAAGAAGATGTTTGGAGGCAGCACATGTCACAATAATTCCTCTCCAAACATTTTCTTTCTTCAGCTTTCTACTAAAACAAAAAAAAGGTAAAACATTCTCTGCTTTTAGGTCTCTAATAATTTATTTACAACCTCAGATACTAATATCTCAGATTTTCTTGTCACCTTTCACCAGGAACAAAGACATAGATCTCTATCACAACCCAAAAGGCTTCAACCCTTCAGCAGACAAAGCCACTGACAGTACCCTAGAACAGATTTTTTATTCTACTGCAATGAAGATTGGCAAGGATTGGCAATGATTGGCAATTGGCAGAATAATTTTATGTCTAAAATATTTTGAAAATGCCTCAGAGAGCCAGAATGGGCTGTAATATCAGAGGTAACAAGGAGCTTATAACTAATTTGGAGCATTTTGGAGATGCAATCACCCAGGCAAAAACTCTGCCTCTTTTGCAATGATGCACAATGAAATTGCACGTCCATGTCATGCAGTGAATTATGATTTCTAAATGCTAAAATCAGTCAAACTCACATTCCAGAGGCATCTGTGCAGGAAAGTTTATTTACAGTTTCACCAGTCCCTGGCTGCAACTAAAGAACTTGGCAAGAGCAAAAGAGACTTTCAGTAGACATTGATAATGGATAAAACACAATAGTCCTCCTTTATCAGACTGTAAATAAAGAGGTCAGTCAAAAGAGTAGTTTTCTTCCCCACTCATCTGTAACTGAACAGAATGGCTTCTGAAAGAGAATCAATAAAATAGTTCATTTGTCCCAACAAATAAGGTGTATGGGGGAATACACACGTTATCCTTGATAAATAACCTGTGACTTTGAGGGGAATAGTTTAAGGAATAATGGTCAATTTTCAGACTGCACTGCAAATGTAGGGAAATAATCTTTTGAAAGAACAGGTTAAAAAAACTAATTTGCAATATTCAACATGTCTCAACTATAGAAAAGAGTAGCTTTAGAGATTATGGTTCTTGCATTAGAAGCTTTTTTGTCTTACTCTGTTTTTAGCTTCTGTGGCTGCAAAATATCCAAAACCTTGCCTTTCTGAAAAGAAAGAAACAGTATCCCAGGGTCACCATGGTTTCCCTGATTTCATTCTTATTCCATATTAGACACCAGTTTAAAGATCCATGCCTGTGGCTTCCCTTGCCTCCTGTACTGGTAACTCACATTTCTCATTTTCTTGGGCTCAGAAAGAAACCTTGGGCCAAAGAAAGGAACATGTGGCAGCAGAACCCGATGGCCCTGACAGAGACACCCAAAACATATCTCAGCAAAGTCAGGAGGCTTCTGGCCAGGGGTACAGGTCTGTTGTTTAAGGCTCTGAATGCAGGATCAAGGTATAATTCTAACAATTAATTATAAAGTATAAGAAGGTTATAGTTGTGAAGGATGTTCATCATTAAAATTCATGCTGCTATCTTCTGTTCTAATATTATTGAACCCATACTGGCTCCTCATTGCCCTTCAGAATAACTTCTCTTTATTTGCATGTTATAAGTGTCAAGCTTATGGCCTTATAATTTCCTCAGTATTCTTCCCAATCTCTTTCTCTGCCTTGAACAACATCCTAGGCAGGATTTCTTCAAGCTTTCCTCTGTAACCCTTCCAAACCTTATAAAAAGCAAATAATTTTGAAAAGAATGTCGTTCGCATGCAAATTATAGCTCTGTTCTTTTAACATGCAGGGATAAAACTCTTTCTGTAATTGGCATTTATTGATTATAATTTTAACATAAGCTTAGCTTGTTAAATGACTTTGCTGGATCTGTACAGGATAATGCATACATAGCTGGTGTCATTTTTAGTGTTTAGTGGCTTAGGATCCCTTGTAAATACATTTATGAAATATTCATTTGAATTTCAGCTCTGTTATTATCCTCTGTGATGTCAATTCCAATTTTCCTCCAAAATGTTTTTAACTTTTCTCTTAACTGAGCTCTTGTTTTTCTGAGCACTAAAGAAAGAAGTGGGGGGTGATCAGGGAGAGATAGACAGGAAGAAAAGGATGAAAAAAATGAGGAAATATTTTCCCTTTTTAAAATTTATTTTCACAAGCTGAGAATCAGGGAAACACAGAGAGAAAACATAATCCTAGTACCTCATCTAATGCCCATGTGTACCAGAGCATACCCAGATGCTGTAGGGATCTGCAGAAAATCCACTTCTCTTTGCATTACCTATTCCTATTTTATCTGCTACCAAGATGAAAGGAAAATCAGCTTCTATTTTTCTCCAGCCCATATTCATATCAAACAAATAACAGAAATATACACAATTCTTTCTCTAATGATAATATCACACACAGGTCTCTCTCTTCCTGCTTACCACACTGAACTTGCTTGGGCACAAGGAGCCTTTTCTGCTGACAATTCCCTGTTGGGAAATGGCTTTGTTCCAGTGAGCCAAACTCTAAGTATTTTCCAACTGTAAATCTGTCCTTGCAAGGTTCATGGAGGAGCTGGAGTATCACTTCAGAGATTATAACCTCCCTGTTCTAGCCTGAGTGTGTTTTCACTCCTCCTCTGCCCCCTCCACACC